ATTTCCAATTTGTTATCATACATCGACCGTATCTATTCGATCAATTGTCATTAGTTACAATCAACTCTATTTTATTCAAAATAGATTCTTTTTGAGAATGTAATAAGAGAGGGAGTTTTAGTCTTGTTTTAAATCTGGTCCATAACACGTTCCAAAATAAAAAAAACATCACAAATAATGATGGTAAAATTAAAAAATATGTCTATTTTAAGATATTTTTCACGTTTTGATGCAAAATTGTATATATTTTATTGACATTTTACAAGTTGTAAAATTTATCGCTGTGCAACAAGACAAATATACTTTTTCACTAGAGAAAAATAGTCTTTGCGCTGTATTTTAGTGCGAGAAACACAATTTTCAGGCGATCAACACTTGAAGTAGTAAGTGTGTGAAATTAGAAAGGAGTGAGTGTCAGTCACAACACAATACGTCACACATATTTGAGCATTTGATGACCTTTGATACATTTCTTTGTTGCTTTTGTGCGGTCTACTTTATGCCACAAAACAGGACAATATACTCATACAGCACACACACATACAAATGAAGAACACAATGTGAATAAGTTTAATTTAAAATAATTAGGTATGAGAGTCTGAACAACTTGAATGGATTGTGATACACATTTGTGACAATGGGGCCATTTGACGACACCTTGTTGAATTCACCGAAAGACCAACGTATTTACAAAATGTAAATATAATGCTAATAATCTCAAGTGCTTGATCTATTTGTGCACATGCATCTTCTTTTTTTTCTTGACAATACACATTGAGTGGATCGTCGTCGTCTTCTTCATTGTAAATGTAAGCATTTTTCAAGCTACTGGCTTAGTACATACCATCCTCTTTCATACATAATATTAGATTAACCGAATCACTTTCATTCAGGATGAGCCAAAACTAGAGAAAAGATTCATGTATCAATTTCAGGTATATCTGTTGGCATACTTTTTTTTTGAAAATTTCACCAATTGAATTTTTTTTTATTTTTGTTATGCATTGTCATTACATGGGCGCACTGTACTTTCTCTCTCATACACACGCAACCATCCATTTCGTATCATTCAATAAGAAACAAGAATGGCGCAAACATCTCGCTTGTTGTATTTTTTTCATGTCTTTTGTATTTTTAGCATAGAAATCGGCATTTTGTTTATTGTACATATTTATTGTTTGGTGAAAACCAATTTCTTCAATTGGTAATCAATAGATTTCTCAATAAATCAGAAGCGATGTGAATGCCATCAATGGAACAATCCAATGATAATAATTGTCATCGAGAATACGTGTGTATTTATGTTCAATTAGCTAACGATTGTGCAAATAAAGTGGATTTTCGTTAAATTGAATTCAATTTTGGTTTCTCTTGGTGTATACAAACTTCCTATCTAGTTTGCTAGTTTATTGATCAACATGCTTTCTTTTCAAAAACGAGGATTATGATCAATGTACAAATGATGTCCTAAAATTCTTTGGAAATATTTCTATCAAAAGTTCTGCAGCCTTTGAGGAATAAAAAAATGCCTATGGACACCATCAAATGCCGTTTTACTAAAGTTTTCAATTTACCTTCGGGCGAGAATATGTGGTATATACATGTATTTTGATACACTTTGTGGATATAATTTAATCCGAAATTGTGTAAATTGTGGTTAGTTTCAAATAGGTTATTTACTTGAATTTCCAATTCAAATGAAAATGTCATTTTTTTAAAATAAGAATTAATTGATCCATCCAGATTAATCTTTATCTTAAACGTTCTCCTTGAATCTATGAACTTGCTATATTCATAGACAGCAGAAGTATACCAATTTATATATGAATTATTAAAGCCAACAAATATGTATGAACGTCCAAATTTTCATAATATCATAAACTTTATCTGAAAAAAAAAAGTGAATGCCAGTGTGGAAAAAAAGTGACTGGCTGAAATCAACCGAAAATGAATTTCGTTAACTAAAACCGTCTACCCAGTCGACCAAAAAATCAAGCAAATGAACTTTAAAAGACTTCAATCTCAGTTGGCTTAAGCCAAAAACGTCGCAAATTCATCAGTCAGTAATTTTTCACGCGGGTGTGATAACATACACACTCACAGAAAAATTTGCGGATATTTTGAACCCAGAAATCGGTACAAAACCCAGCGGAATGATTTTTGGGTATAATTTAACCGAAAAATCGGTTGAGACTTAAAGTTTGTGAATTTTGATGAGACTTGAACACAGAACTGTCATTTTAAAACTCCGAAAGTACGTGAACACGGTAGAATGTACGCTCACACGACATCGCACACAATGTTTATATTTTCAATGTGCACGCACATTTACATAGAAGTTTGACAATTGCCGAAAAATTGAATTTTTAAAATTCAGAACCAATATTTGAAATGTGCGTGCACATTGAAAATATAAGCATTGTGTGCGATGCACACAGTCGTGTGATCGTATGTTCTACCGTGTTCACGTACACTCAGAGTTTTAAAATGACAGTTCTGTGTTCAAGTCTCATCAAAATTCTCAAACTTTAAGTCTCAACCGATTTTTCGGTTAAGTTATACACAAAAATCATTCCGCTGGGTTTTGTACCGATTTCTGGGTTCAAAATATCCGCAAATTTTTCTGTGAGCACAAAATACGGACATCTATTTGGAATCAACCATCACAATTTACGACGCATTCAAAGTCTGCTATTGCATGCACTCAATTTGGCATGAATGTATTATAAGGATATACCGTTCAGGTAATCAATACCATTCAGCAATTTGTCGAAGTATTTATATGAGACTTTCAATTGAAATAGCCAAAAGTAAAAACATCACCTTCGATTCGTAGAAGTTTTTGAAATTTAATATTGGCTCACCCTGAATAAAAAACAGGCAATATTATTTTATTATTTCTTTAATACACAGAAAAATCCGGAAAAAGTGTCAATTTTTGCCATTTCTGGGCATACTTCTTCTGGTTGGCGGGTGTGTAAAATTGAAAATATTCATCAAACCAAATTAGAGATAATCTCTGTCCAAAACCCTCCGTTACAGGGTGAGCCAGATAATTTCAGTAAAATAGAGCATCCCGGGTATGCAGTATTCTCTGTTTCGTCTAATCTGTTTTCCGTGCAGACAATTGAAATGATTTCGGCAATCATTACTAATGGGCACAGCATCTGTTCTGCTCCGCATTCTGTTGACTGTGCACACACAAAATAAACAATAATAAAAATACAAATAAAAATTAAAAGAAATCGAGAAGCGGAAAGAGAGCGAGAGAGACAAAGTTAAAAGTTACCATTCTAATTAATTGTTTTCATCGTTTGATGAAATGTTTCGACTATTGTCTTGCGCTGTATTAAATATCGTCGTTGCCGTCATGATCGAATGAAAAGCCAAAGAATAAAAAGTGGTAACATATATTAAATACGTACATGCACAGAGCAAAAAAACCTACAAATGGCATTCGGCCCACAATAATATAAACGAAGGTGAAGGAAAGCTCAATGATTTCAATTTTGTTCAATTTTCAACTCTGTGGCACACAATACAATAAAAAATCAATTAGATGTAATGTGCAAAGTAAAAGAAACAGGCGAGAGACAGACAATGATGAGAGAAAAATGCTAGTAAATGGTTTGTATGATCAATGATGCGAGAACAGTGCGTGCCGGTCATTCGTCATCGGTTTTCACGAATTCCCCGACACAACGAACAACATGCTGTCCGTGAATAATATCAGTTCAGACCGAACGTATTGTCTACGTGTGTATGTATATGTATATCGTTGAAGCTGGGTTAAGCGAACGCAAGTTAGAGATTAGCGAGTAAAATAAAAATAAAAGGAGCAAAATAGCAAAACAACGTTCAATTAACATAGAAATGAAAAACTAACCCAAAAAAAAACCAACGTCGAACAACAAAAACAAAAAGATGAAAACACACAGTGTGGGTAAATAAAAATCCAAAAGCCATTAATCAATATCATTTTCCCAACAAGCCAATTTATAAAACAAACGTTGTAATTTTCTATCTGAATTTTGGTAATATAGTTTTCAAAAACTATAATAAAGCATAAAATGCGATCATGGTCGGTGTGCGCCATTTCGGTCGACATCAAATGCACTTCACAATTGCAGCTTCAAAATTGAACGTAAACTGGGAGTTGGTTTAGCTCGTTTTACAACGCCACCACCACTGAATTCTCGAAATATACACGCTTACAAGCAAATACACATTGCGAGGAGGAAACAAATTGTGTGTGTGCGTTACATAATAGCCAATGATATTTATCTTCAACAAACTATGGTCGAGAGTCAATCGACTGGCAATATATATATATACATTTTTTTGTATTTGAATGGTGCCAAACAACATATTACATGCATCATCAATCTCTTGAGCCACACAACTATCCTATTTTTGATATTTGTTTGAATAAATTGGTTCCTTTATTTCCAACCTGGTCATTTTTTGTTTTCACCATTCAAATAGAAAACATGCAGGTAAGCTCTTGCATACTCTGTCTTTTTCAAATTCTCTTTTCGGATGATTTACAACATAGTTCTAAAGCCAAATATTATTATATTTAACAGTTTTTTTTTTGTATTCATCCATAATCGGAATTTTGGAAAGTCGTGAGCCTCCACCATATGACGATGATCGCATTTCAGTTTTCCGAAGAATTTATCAACATTCCAGTCGAAATTTCAATGATAAATAGACCAACCCTATTCCAATCTAGATTCCAACTCACCCATACTGCAGACACTCGAACATTCACTTATATTGAATGCCATATGTGTATTTTATTAATTGTTTTGCATATCATAGAAATTATGTTTCCTGTTTACCTTGCAAAGACTCGAATAAACTTCGTTTGATTTTCTAAACGTCTGTAGTTCAAATTGTTCAAAAAATAAATCCAAATTTTAATGAAAACGTCGGTAAATGTTGGTTTTACAATTTTATCTGTAAGTTGTTTTATTGATATCATTGTCTTTGGATACAGTCTTTTTGAAAATGTACGTATAAAAATATGTTTGTTTTGTTTTAATAAAAAAGTCTAATATATTTTTATCGATGAATTATTTACAATCTAAATTATAACGTAGTCGTACGTGCTAATTAATCTCAAATTATAAATGGCTTTGTTGGAGCATGGTGTTTTCAGTTTTTTAAAACACATGATCATAATTTGTGTAGGCATAATAGGGACGTCGTTTTACAGTTTGTCCATTTTAATTATATGTATATATATATCTTCTGTTAAATCAGCGGATGAGAGAATGAATGTTTGCGCTTTTCAAAACTGATTAATTGCACTCTCGAACAACATTAATTCGTACATAATAATCATAAGAGAACAATTTTAGATTGATTTTCCTTCACATTATCTTAAAGTTAAAACATGAAAAATAGATAATTTGATGAGTTCCAAAAATGCAGTTTTTTTTTCTGTTTAAATAAACATAATCAAATTTGTCTGTTTTCGTAAATAAAAAAATAATTCAATGAAAATAGCTCGAAACGATTTGGCATCCGCGACGGTTGTTAGAATTGAAGCTTTGTGTGTATGTCTATCATTCTCTCTCCCTCTCTCTCTGTTTAACTCTCACATCCTAAGATAGCTGATATTGAGAATCCAGTTTTTTTCGGTGGGCTGACTGCGATGGTTTTTTTTTGTTGTTCCAAAATGGCTGGTACCATTGATGGTGGAAAATCCGGTGATGGCATTTGTTCATATGTACGTGCCAAATCGATTGGGGTGGCTTGCATAAAATGTGGCGATTGTTTAAATGGTGACGTTACCGAATCATAATTTCTTGGCAATGTTGAATAAAATAATGGTTGTTGTGGTGGATAATTTCCATTTGCTTGAATGTAGCGCAGTGTCATCAAGTCAATCCATTCGGATGATGGATGATGACGTCCAACAGTCGGTAAACCATTTCCAACGTGATTCGTTTCATATGATTTTAATGTTGTATAATCATCGGATTCATCATAAGTAGCCGGATTATATTCATGGGTTGATGTTGCTGGTGAACTGGTTCCGCTGAGTGAAGATGAAGAAATCATCTCATCGCCCACAGAGTTGCCACTTTCATCAGCCGACGACGTTGACTCAGATAAACTGTTTGATCGTTTGCGGCCAATTTTATTCTCTTTCATTGTGTTTTTGTATTCAAAGAGTTCGTTGCGTCGTAGCTTTTTGTCATTACTTGCCTCCATTGGTGTATTTGCTTTTGATGATGACGACGACGATGATGAAGATGTGGATGATGTGAGTTTCCGCTTTATTCTCGATTGACCGGATTCACGAAAACCTTTGGCAAATGGATTGTTATCGATCTTCAACTTTGTGATTCGATCATTCTATACAAGAAAAAACAAGAAAGATAAAAAAAATTGGCATCAATTAGTTAAGTGTGTTGTGATATTTTTTTTATAGTAATAATCAATTGTTGCAAATGCTGATCTCGAATTTGATTTGGATGCGTAAAACAGGAGCCATTTGAGAATCACATTATCTCTATTTTATTTTGGTAGGATCTCTTAAAGAACATATATCATGCACAGACGTCTGTGTCATTTGTGCTCCCGTCTACAGAATAAAGACGGCATTTTGCTTTGTGAAAATGATATTTTGTGATTACTTCAAGAATAATAGCAACCGAAAAAACAACGGAAAGCTAAATGAAAGCATTTAGCTATAGACACATATTGGCATACTAATTGTTTCGGACACTGCTTTTTACACGGGACAAACAAACAAAGACATTTAGCCATGTATCCATAACACAAAGTAAATTCGATCATCGATGCCGACAAACTATAAAACGAAACATAACGTAGAGAACTTAGACAAAATGTGCCCTCTCTCAGCCACTCAAAGCGCATTCATTTAAATGGCAATACAAACAACCAACAGATAGAAGAGCAGAGAGTAAAGGAAAGAATCACACCGAAAAAAATGCACTAATCTGGCCGAATAATCTGGTGCCTACTTAAATCTGTTTTTATTAAAATCTCAACAAGCATGCAAGTGCCGCTAATTCTTTCATTGTATCTGGCTATGGTATTGTATAGTATTATTGTTTGGTGTGATTATGTGTATGTGTAGATGTAAGACCGTGCGCTCGTACAAATGCATGCCGAATATGGAGATTATCTTGGAAAGCGGTCCCTTTATTCCAAACTCTTAGGACAATAACAAAAACAACTGGATCATGCCTAACAAAGACAGATAGATTTTCAGTAGGAACAAAAAAAAAACACACAGACACACATAAAGACTGAAAACACCAAGTCGATGTGCTCGGTAATGTGCGGTGCATCGACATGTCGATAGACGACCCTACCAATAATGCTGTGGTTGTCACGTAAAATGTGCTTCTGTGTCTTTTTTGTTGCAGTCGACTTGATTTTGCGCAAAACAGCATTAAGATTATAATCAGGTCTTTCTGGCTGGCTATCTAGTTGGCAAACAGGACTAGAGTGAAAAAAAAGTACACAATTTAATCGACTACCAAATTTTTGAGTGCAATTGATTGATCGACGCCGACAAAACCGATTGCAGTACAAAATTTTGCTACAATTTTTTTTCTTTCACAAAGAAGATTAAACGCATTCGTAACACAGTATGAAATGTTAATAACTGACAAACGTTAAAAATAAGTTTTGTCCCATTCTTTTATCTTCAATGGTAAAAAGGGAGACCGCCTTAAAAATTGAACTATAGTTCAGATAAAAAATCGTAGACGCTTTACAATTGCGTAGCACACCAACAAAACTATAATAAAATATTCACTGGCAACTTGTTGCCATTAACAAGACGACGACGGCAACGACGACGTCGTCGATAATGAAAAAAATATTGTGCAAAGGTGTGAAATAAAAATATTCAGGCCTGTTTTTAATGCACTACATATGTATGTTTACAAGGATCGCACAGCCTAAATGATATATTATTATGTAATTACTACAATATTCATAAAAGTTTTCAGCATGTTGTTTGTCGAATGGGAACGCGTTGCATTTGATTACTACCCATTCCAAATTAAGAAAATGAAATAACGAAAACAACGATAAAAAAGAAGAACACGTCATAAATTCCAACCTAAATCATGTAAATTATAAAACAAATCTTTGCCTTAACAAGTTTTGAAATAACCCAAAACTTAAAGAAGAAAAAAATGAGAAGGAACAAGAGCATAACAAAAAATGGAAAACAGAGAATCGCACCGTATATTGATGATATATGTGATGAGTTATGGTTGTTTGAATGTGAGAATTGAAAAGCAAAATGGCAACAACAAAAAACTAACAAATAAACAACAACAAAATAAAAGAAACACATATATACGAATAGATTCTTACTTGATAAGCGGTGACGGCAACGAATTCAGTTTCAGGAAATGTAAACGATTGTTGTGGCGCCCATGGGATCTGCGACGGTTCGGATGTGCGAATGATATGCAATCTTGGTTGATATTTGTGCATACTTGTCAAAACCATCTGGAGAAATAGAAATAAACAAAATAGAAATAAATACATCATGGTATTGAATAACGGCGACGACAACGACAACGAAACGAAACAAAATAAGACGAACGAAAAAAAATGCACTTAAAAAACACATGCACAACACATTTTTTTTTGGTTATGCGGAAATATTTGTTTAGTAACCGGTGCAATTCGATGAGTGCAATGCTAAATTCGAATTTGTTGTGTGAAATGATATCGATTTTGGTTTACTTACATGTCCCTGGCTATCCAATGTGTTGTTTGTCAATTTGACCTTGTTGAAGATAACTGGCTGTGCTTGCCAGTGTGATCCCAATGCTGGACTGTCTGGATGAATGTACATTCGTTGTGAGCTTTGTGGTTCAGCACCACCAGCTGGTACCCATTGGCTGCCTGAAAATTTGTATCGACAATCGCTGAGTGGTGCCATTTCAAGCACAACGCAATAGTGAGCATCTTTCTCCAAACCGGACAATGCAACACGCAATGACGGAAACATTCGGCTATACAATTAAAATTTAAGACAAAGAGAGACAGAAAGAACGAAAAAGAAGAAGAAGAAAAAAACAAATAAAAATTATGTTTAACATTCGTTCCATTAAAGTTGCAAGCACAGGCTTTATACACAAAATTAAGAGATTCCAAATTATTGAGTGTGGATCGACACAATGATGCCACAATCCAAAGAAAATCATCATAATGGTGAAATTCCATTTCATAAAATGATATCCAAACATATTGAACATAATTATTAGTGTTTTAAAAAAACAAACAATCATTCCGACAACTATACAAGACCCAAAGTCGAAAACGGAAGAAAAAAATGTAAAACGAAAAAAAAAACACACATCGAACTGACCAAAAAGACAAGTTGCATTTGTGTTAAGTGAAAAATGTGTGTGCATAAAAATGAACGAGGCGCCTTTAAACTGCATTTAAGTGTGTACCGGAAAAGGCGCCTCGTAGTCATTAGACTGTCGACAAGTGCTTATTATTTAGATGGGTTACAGCATATTTTTATGTTCTTGACAGGCCTAAAACACACATACAGACATGGAGTGTGTGTGTGTGTGCACAGACAACAAGCATAGCGAATCAACTATGGACACACATTTGACATGAATCACTCTACCATTCTGGAGTCAAGTTGGGTCATAGAAAAATGTTTGCTTTTCATTCAGAAAGTGAGTCTGCCAAAAAACACACACACACGAAAACCATTGAGAAATAAAAAAACGAAATGCGCAACATACACATTAGCTTTGGTAATTGTACTATCACCGTCATCAGTTAATTATCGGTTTGGTCGTACAGTAACTTTTGGACAGTACAAAGGCGGAAACAAAAAATTGCAATGATCTTTGCTGAATATCGTGAATGGCCAAAATGAAACGAAATATTTTAGCTACAAAAAATTCCGGTCTATTTTCTACAATACTATTGATCTGCTCGAGAATTTTCAAAACTCAGACACAATTTATCATTTCTGAACTCATTCATTATATTTACTTTTCGTGAAGATGCATATAGATAATAAGGATGTGCTGATTATGTGATGATGATTATTTTGGGATCTTTTTCCAGGGTTGATTCATGCTTTTGGAATTTTCTTTCCATTTTCTAGTCATTCAACGATTTCAAATGTTCAAGTAGCCCATTTTTCGAACTAATAATTAAAGTTTTTCGCTCTGATGTGTACGTCTGAAAAATTGGTAAACATTTTTCATTGTCCGGATGATTCATACTTTTATTTGCCTGAAGTAAATGGTATTTGTTTGCTTTGTAAAATGCACATGATTGCCAAACTGAAAAACGACTATTTTCATATATGAAGGAACAATAACAATAAAATCGTTGGATTCATTGTTCAAGATTGTATTCGACTTCAAAAACAGGTGATCAACGATCAAATCGATCATTTTTCGTTCATTCATTTCAAACATATGTTAAACATTAACAAAACATTAATTGGGTACGACTAAAGTATCAAGATTGATTAGATTCAGTTTTTATATCGTCTAATTTGAATTATAAAATCATTGTTATTCTGTTTTTTTTGTCAACTGTCTCCGTGTCATGTTTTATTACATTTTTTCTCGCTTCACTGTTTGAATCTTCAAATTAGATCTAAATCATTGTTATGTATTGGAGTTGGATGTACCTGTGCTGTCACACGGTCGATTTCAATTTCACTTTTTTTCCGCTAGATTATCCAATTTTCTTGTGATTTTAAGATAAGAAAAAAATAAATAAATAATCATTAACGCGCGTACGACTGAAACGACCGTTGTTTTCGTTCCATAACACTACTATTTACGCTCAATTTTTAATTTATAAACCCATAAAATAAGACGCGATCTATTAGGTGTGCTTAATGGACGACTTGAAGTTAAATATGAAAACTTGAATGTTGATTTGATCATTTATAATTGATTAAAAGACGAGAAAAAAAAACATCAACACAACATCAACGAACAAAAATAGATGACGAAAGGCGAATTCACAAGAGGCTGATTACATATAAGACACAAGATGTGATATCTTTTATTGTTTTCTTCGTCTATTTTCTTGTGTAAATTATCTGTTGATTTTGATCTCTGACAATGACACAGTGAGAGATATGGTGAGACAAGAAAGATCTATAAATTCATGAAAAAGATGAGCAACAAAGAACAAACGATGTTGGAACGACAGACGACGTATATATATATATAAAAACAGTGCCCAATGAAAATGATGATGATGAAAAAAAAAATCTGTCAAATATCACCTGCTGCTTTCGGGATATGGAGACCGTTGAATGTCGTGCGCAACCGTAAAAAGAATCGCTTCAAATCTAGATAGAAATCAGCGTTTGTCTTTTGTGTGATCAAGATCAAGTGTTTTTTTTTATCTTCTTTTTTTCGTCTCCTTTTTTGCAGTTTTGCTATACCTCTTCGTACTTTTTTGTTTTGGGAGAGTGTGAAGCGAAAATGTATCGATCGTAAAATTTGATGGGTGATACATTTATTTGATTTTATGCGCAATGTTTGCACCAATGTACAAACACACGCCCGAATCGGAGCAAATGTCAAAAAGGATCTCACCGATCCCTGATTTATTCTGATGCGAACATTTGTTTTCTTTTCATTTTTCGACATTATCTCCAAAATAGGTGCTGCGGATTTTTTGAACGAAAAGGGTCACCAAACAACACAGCCGATACAATTGAAAACACATGTCCTCTTTTTATACGATCCGCCGTCAGAAGCACTTGATCAAATGCTAAGATTAAAGAGATATACAATCGTAATCGATCTCATTAAAATCATCGATAAAAATGTATGTTCGCCGATCACACATGGGACACACCATAATATTTCCGTTCTCACATTACAAGTGGCTTCCAAACAACCGTTAAAACGAAACAAGGTAAACATGAGTTTTATGACTTTCGGTGATTCCAAATTCGGTGAATCCATTTTCGTTCGGATTTCTTTGTTTTTTTTTTTTAACGCAATTATTGGAATGCATTTTATTGCGCCAAACGATGATAATAGCAATGATGCCGTCAGTGACACAACATGCATTTTTTTCATAAACAAAATTAAGTATGTCTTTATGTATCTTCACGTTTACACTTTCATTCCCACATTAATTCTCATTTCCATATGCACCCAAATAGTTTGTATTTTTTAATACGATACGCTTCTTTTTTTTCTCCTCTTGACATGATATATGTTCAAACTTGATCGAACGGCGGCTCCAATCACAATCATTGATGTGATGTTCACGGTATGCTGCGGCGAAGCGTTGAAAACATTGGTCTTTTAATAAGCCAGCGATGTTCAGTGGGAATCTTTGGATCGCATGCGCCAGACAAAATGATAATAAATTAATAAGCGAGACGAAGAAAAAGTTGCAAAAATTTATCAAATACAATGTTATATTGAACGAAAATTATTTAACCGAAGAGAAGCGAGAAAACAAAAGAAAAATAATTTGTCTCTTTTTTTACTGTGATCGCTGGATTTAATCGAGTACGATAAATAGAACTCACAAGATCAATATGCGTAACTTAGTTCTGCGTAAAAAATTGATAAAATTAATCGAACAAACAATGATTGCTCGAATATTTGAATACAGTGGTATAAATTCAAAAGCCTAAAATGTTTACACACGTTATGTTTCATTTTTTTTCAGGTCTCGCCTTTCACGGTATATTCTCATGAATTTGTATGTGTTATTTTTTTTTTGTTTTTCATTTCAAATGAATATAATAGTATACGAGTTTTAATGAGAATTTTTTTTTTTAAATTTGTGGCGCCCGACTGACCCATTCCTAACTGCGCTCGTCGACCGCTGCCATAAATTAATGATAAAACAATACAAAACGTATACAAGCGCGTGCATATATATTATATTCACGCAGCATCTATAATATCATTCAGTTCAGTTTTCGAACACTTGAGCAACGAAAAATCAGACGAAAAATATTCGAACGAAAATCATTTATTATAGTGTGTTTTGTATCTCTGTATTGATGTTATTAGTGGCGAGAGTTGCCGAACATCAAAAATAACTGCAACACAAAACATGAGAAATAAGAATGAAGGAAACCAAACCGAAGAGCACGACCAAACATACACACATACATATTTTGAAAATGCTAAATTTTCGAAGAATAAAAACGAAGAAAAGGTACACATTTTGATAGAATTTGTTTCATTTATATTATGTGATTATGTTTGTTATAAATTCATTTCTCTTCGGGCTGTATATTCGTCTTCGTTCCTTTGAATCGAATATGGCGATGGTTTAGCGCCAATCGTATGTCTCTGTGTCTGTTATCATTTTGATAAATGAACAATCTGACACATTTGGGAAACGAATTATGGCATAAATTAATTTAATTTGAAATTATCGAAGGACATACGTTGTTTGTTTTTATTTTGTCTATTAATCAATATTCTGGTGGGCTTTACGTGACTATTTATTTATAACCATTTTATAATGTCTAATTTTAGATTGTAAAAACCAATTAATCGTTGACCAATTTTGTTTTTTATCGTGATGGAATGAAATAGATTCATTTAAAATTGCACCGTATTTTCTTTGATTTGAATTTGTAGGTCGAAAATGCACACCATGGCTTTGCTTATACCTTATTGTTTGCCAAAGTTAAGTTGTGTGCGTTTGCCATTGAATGTAAAGTACTGTGCGAAATGGTTTGTTCATAAGTCGGTGTTCAGCGTATGAATCTGATTCAAATGATGATACCACAGGAATAAGAAAACGAGCAACAGGCAGCACAACAACAACAAAAAAATATGGAAAAAGCAATAACACAAAATAAACAACCACAACAACGAAATGCGATGAAAAAAAAATTATATGCTGTGTGTGCAAAGGCATACGTAATAATGTGATGATGGTTTAAGCAACGAGAGGTAGTTAAGAAAAATTAAAAGTTTGTTGTTGGTTTTATAAAAATTGCCTTGGTGGTCTGATGGCAGCGGAATAG